AAATTTTGGCATGGTGGAGGCTACAAGGTGTAAGATTTTCAATACTTTCAATATTAGCACGTGATATCTTGACTATTCCAGTATCAACGGTGTCTTCAGAATCTGCCTTTAGCACAGCTGGGAGGATAATTGAAGAACGAAGGACTTCGTTGACTCCAGAAATGGTTGAGGTGCTAATATGTCTAAAAGATTGGGAAAATGCTTCTTTGCGAATGCAACACACAACCGAAAACAGCGATTTAATGGATCAATTTCAAAATTTATACATTGACGATGACGCTTCTGATGCGGGGAGTAGTGTAGCAGGCAGTTAGATATTTTTGTTCTTAATATAAATTGTAACTGTAAAAATAATACTGCACTCTTTTTTTCTTACCAAGGTTTTATCCCAATGGGTTTTTCTTGGTAAGGTTTTTAATGAGGCAGTTATAAATACATAAATAAAGTCTTATTTCATTAAAATTTTACAATATTCACTATTTATTATAAATTTCGTTTTATTTTTTTAATAGTTTTATAAATTATGCTCGGACCGGGCCGATTCGGGCCGGCCCGGTCCGAAAATAGCCCGGCCCGCACTCGGCCCTTCGGGCCTTAGGGCCGGGCTGGGCTTATATAAAATTATTTAGGGCCGGGCTAGCCCGGCCCTATTAAAAATCGGGCCGGGCCGCCCCGGCCCGAAATGATAATTCGGGCCGCCGGGCCCGGGCCGGGTGGCCCAAATTTTTAGCTCTGACTTCAGGCACGAGTGTAATTTTATAAAAAATTGATTTCACATATAATAAAGTTTTTGTTTACAATTTAATGCTAATTATTTCATATTTGTTTTAAAGACAATATTTTCTCATTTTTCACAATTTATTGTAAAACATATTTACAAAAGAATGTCTTAAATTAATTATAAATGCAGTAGTATAATCTATGAAGAGTTTTCATCGAATTTTTAACTAACAAATTAAAATCAAAATAAAAAATTATATATTTTTTTAGATGATTCAAGTTAAAAGTATTTAAAATGGTGATTATGTTAACTTATTTTTAGTTATAATATTCTGTATTGTGAAAATAAAACCTTATTTTATAGAGAAATCTAATTAGGGTGTCCATATAAAAAGTAGAAAAATGTTTGATTAAGAGTATTTTTGAGAAAATTATTTCAGTATAAAATCAAACAATAAAATTAGTCGAATACAAATCTAACATTTATAGAGGATTGTAATAAAAGTATTTGAGTATGGATATATTCACCAAAAAAATATTTGGATTGAGAAATTAGCAAAGAAAAAAATTTAATGAAGTGAAGGAAACATCAATAAAGAATAAGAATGCAAATAAAATATAATTAATGGCCAAAGAACTAAAGCCTCATTCGTTTCGCTGATTCGAGTTTAGAATTCGAGTTTTGTTACAGTAAAAAGCTCTCACAAACAGTCACATCTAACTTTTTTACTACAGTAAAAAGCTCTTACATAAAATCACATCTCAACTCAAATTCTAAACTCGAATCAGCGAAACGAACGAGGCCTAAGTAAGAAAGCAAAAAAGTAAAAAAAGTAAAAAAAAAAAAAAAGAAAAAAGAAAACATGGAACGAAATGCACACACATGGCCGAAGGAGCGCCCTTTGCGCTTCTAATCTTATATACTAATTTTGTTCCGCACATATTACTTTGTTGGAGACACTAAGGACACGTTTATTTTTTATATTCATCTATGATTTTAAATCATAATTTATAATTTTTTACAGTATTTTTTCTTATAAAAATATATATATAAAATAAAAATAGTTCTGAATCATGATTTTTAATACATAAATCAAACGTCTTCTAAAATACGTTTTGGATGATGTATTTTGGGTGATTTGAAATGTGGCTCTAATCCAAACAGATGTTTAGAAGCCCATGACCTGATTTTGGGCTTATAACTGGATGAGACAGATGAGCCCAGGGAATTGATTCGCTAACGGTAAAAAAATCCATTGTTTGACCTCAGAGAATTGATTCCCTTCCGAGCTCAAATCAAAACCCAAGCAGCGCAAAATGCATAACCAAAGCAATTGAGTCATCCTTAACCAAACATTATTTTAGATTAAAACCCATGTTTTCAATGCACATCTAAACATACGTTCAAACCCTTTTCAAATCACCATTTAAACTTCTTTTCAACCCACATGGTTTAAACTCAAATCACTGACTTAAACACGTGAACTAAACGGAGTCTGAATAGTTTATTGTTTACCGAATAATGAGAAATATACAACTAATTAAGGATTTTTTATTTTATTTTAAAATTAAATATGTGTAAAGATAATAATTGACCAAAAAAAAGCATGGACACATTTAAAAAAAACTATTTTAACCAATTAAACATAAAATAGGAGGACATGCAAAACAATTACTCTCATAAAAATAAAGTGAGGAATCATATATTTTTAAAAATCACACAAAAAATTAAAATGCAAAAAGAATTCAAAAAATAAAGATAAAAAGTAAAAAAATAAAAAAAATAGGTAAGTGGAGTGGCTGCCAACTTAAACTTTTTTTTATGTATTGTTAGATTAGATTCATATGTCTATATATATGTGTATATGAATCTTCTCTCTTCTTGATATATCTATTTCTCTATTATATTCTATTATATAGAAGTTTGGATGATTGGTTTAAAATTTTTGCACTTTAACAAGTTAGCTTGCTTGCTTTAATGCTTTTTTTAATTGTATTTTTAAGCTTTCTTTCATTTCTAAATTTTAATTTTTTTGTCAGAATTTTTTATCTATACACTTCAACATATTAACTAGTCATTTTCATGGGGAAAAAAAATTAGCTTACTCGCTTTCAAGCTTTTTTTCCTCTTGTTTTTGTTTTTATAAAATTGTATTTTGAGCTTCTTTTTCTTGATTTTTTCTAATTCTATTTTTTTTCATCAGAATTTTTTATCTAGATTATATAGAAGTGTAGATGAATGTTGCACTTTTTGTTCTTCAACTTCTTGCCTCATATTGAGAAATTTTTCTTCCACATTTTGCTGCTTGTTTTGCTTTAACACTTGCTTGTTCTTTTTTTTTTTTTTTTGCTTCTTTTTAATATCTTGTATTTTTAATTGTTTCGAATTAACAGATTTTTTATTAATTTTCTCTTTAAACACCTCATTTAATATTTTTTTATTTCCATAAATATTTTAACTCGTGAATCTCTATACTCCTTACTATACTATATCTATAGTATTTATAATAGAGAAGATGTATCTAACTTTTTCAACAATTATTATGTATAATTTGAAATTGTTTGTTTTATGGTATGATGTTTTAAAATTTTTGTACTTCAGCATGTTTGCTTGCTTGCTTTCATGTTTTTTGTTTAATTGTATTTTTAAGCTTTCTTTCATTTCTAGTTTTTAATTGTATTTTGATTATTTTATTATAATTTTTTATCTATAGACTTCAACATATTAGCTTGTCATTTTCAAATATATATATATTAGCTTCCTTGCTTTCAAGTTTTTTTTCATTTGTTTTTATTTTGTAAAATTGTATTTTGCAATTTGAACATTTGGAGTGCAATTTAAATGGCTTGCTTTCAATTGTATTTTGCAGTTTAAATAATATAAATTGTTTATGTTATTTAGAGTGCAATTTCATAACTATCGTGGAATTATTATGAAATTAGTATTTCATTCATTTTATGAAAGTGGTGATATTGGATTGAATTAAATATTAGGAGCCAAAAGAACCCTATGGTAGCTTAATTTTGTGATTATATAAACTAATTGAGAATATAAAATTATGTATGAAAAAATTGAGAATTTACCCCTATTTTGTTTTAATGGAAACGAAATAAATTTTATTTTTAAAAGGCTATTTCCAGATTTTCTATTAATGTAAATACCTATTTGTTCCCTTCAGTTTAAGGCCTCGTTCAGTTTGATGATTTGAGTTTTTAATTCGAGTTTAGATGTGACTTTATGTGAGAATTTTTAATTATAGTAAAAAAATTAGATGTGATTTTTTATGAAAGTTTTTAACCGTAGCAAAATTAAAATTAAAAACTCGAATCGGTGGAATGGCCTAACTAACTCCATACACCATTTCATTCAGTATTCTAGTTATCACGTGTGGACGTTTGGTTCATGGATTCAGAATCATGATTCAAAAATATTCTCGATTTACGTGGTTTTTTGTGAGAAAATAATATAACGAACTACGAATTATGATTCAAACCATGACACGAATCTTTATACCAAACACATTGCACAGTCAAAATAACAGCCCGAAAGATTATGTAGCGGAGAGAAATTGAGAAAAGAAATGAATACGTTACAAGTTGTGATCATTCAAACGAAAACCTTGACGCAAAATCATGGGGGAATACGATCACCATCTGCCAGGAGAAAATTTTGCACTAAAGAAGTCGCTCGAAAATGTGTCTCTGCCCCAAGATCAAGCACCAGCTGCGTTAGCTCTGTTTCTGGGTTGAACCAAAACAGGCTTGTATGATCTGAACATGATAGATTCAAAATATCTCGGCCAGTCTTTGAAAGGAGTAGGGGAAAGAGGGTATGAATCCGCTCTGGGTCATTTCTCAAGGCATATAAACAGACCCAAGAATCTTTATTTTCGTAATCATGGATTCGCCAAACATTAGACATTAAGGAACATAGACATGATAGTTTTCTAAACGAATGTCAAATAGAGATGACCTCCCAGTGTTTCTAAACGAATTGCATTATTCGGTTCTAGATCTGCAGGCAGTTCAAAATCAGAAAACTCATCATTCTCAATGTCAAATGCTAAAATCTTCCATGAGAAATCTTGAATATCCTCCATCAACAAATGGAAATGGCCATTAAGGAACACACACTTGATAGTTTTCTCTTCTAAAAATCCCCTTGCTACTTCAAAAGTGGAATAGATAGCAGGTAAAGCTGGAATTCTCCTCCAAACATCTGATCTGGAAGTGTAAACCATTACCTCAGAAGTGAAAGTTTTAGTTCTTATGTTCTCGAATTGATTGATTCGGATAATTTCATAGTTGTCCATATCCGGAAAATATGCAAATCAGTATACTGGTTGATATCTTCGCACGTGGAGAGTAATCGTACCAATTGTAAATACATGCAACATCCGTACCCACTTAAACCTAGGGGTGTTCGGCGGTTAAAAACCGTCGGCCAAACCGACCATGTCATTTTTCTGAAAGTGGACACCGAAACCAAACCGCATGCAGCATTATTCGGTTCTGTTAACCAAATTTCGGTTTCAGTTCAATTTTGGTCGGTTTTTCAGATTTAGTAATTAAGAAGGTGACTTCAATTAATCATCAGGTTATCAACATATAAATACAGGCAACATCCGTACCCACTTAAACCTATGGATTGACGGATTCCATATAGCCAACTTCGCGTCCTTCCTTGCATTCCACATAGCCAACTCAGAGAAATATTTCCACTCAGGTTCATAACAAATGCAAGTTAATCCATTGGAGTGGCCCACTACTTGAGTTTGTACTCTTGGATGACTTGGTGGCCGATAAATCCGTCTCATGTTCTCGATGATTTCGTCATTATCATCCTGGAAAGCAACTCTGTAAAGCTCTGTAGGCTTAGAGCCAACGTTAGATAACAAAACAACTCTATTTATTTGTTAGTTTACTAATCAATTTTAAAAACTTAAACTATTAAGAGATGGTCAATAATAATTTTATACTTTAATACTCCATCTCGTGTATGGGTTAGATAATGAGCAATCGTGTGGTTAAATTAATTAGAAAGTCCAATATGTAAATATTTAAGCCTTAGATATATTAAAGACCCAACACATGATGACAATTTAAATGAGAATAAAGAGTGTAATTACGGAGGTTTGAACTCAAAATCTCCCGTTCTGATACCATATTAGTTTATCAATCTATCTTAAAAGCTTAAACGATTAGAAGGTGGACCAACAATAATTTTATATTTTAACAGCGTCCTTCCTTGCATTCCACGTAGCCAATTCAGAGAAATATTTCCACTCAGGTTCATAACAAATGCAAGTTAATCCTTTCGAGTGGCCCACTACTTGAGTTTGTACTCTTGGATGACTTGGTGGCTGATAAATCCGTCTCATGTTCTCGATGATTTCGTCATTATCATCATGGAAAGCAAATCTGTACAACTCTGTAGGCTTAGAGCCAACGTTAGATAACAAAACAGCTCTATCAGTGTCGGAATCTAGGGCCTTGTTTAGATGCATTTTGCTGAATGTAGAGGACGGCTCGTTTGGAACTCGTTGTAAAATAATTTTATTTTTTATATGAAAAGAAAAATGAAAATATCTTCAATCTCAGACATAAATTATTTTTAAAAATGCGTTTGATAGTTTTATCAATAGATTATTTTCAGTGTAAAAAAATACATTAATGTCTCTCTTTCTCTCTCTCTCTGCTCGAGAGAGGAGAAAATGAAAACAAAAAATGAAAAATGACTAAAAGTCGTTTTTCATTTCTCTCTCATTTTACACTAAACCAACAAATGATTTTCATTTCCGTTTTTTGTCTTTATTGCACTAAACTAGGAAAGATTATACAACAGATCAAAGCATTTGCAGATGTCATAATTAAGGCGCATAATTAACTTAAAATCCTAAAATAAATAGTGAAAAAACTTTTAACAACTAAGCACAAAAATCAACATAAATACTGAAAAACATCGGTATTATAGAGCATGTGATGTAAACAGGCATACGAAATATTATAAAAGAATGAAAAAAAGAAAAGAAAACTGAGAAGAAAACAATACCAGAGTATCAGATCAAGGTGTCTTGCAATCACTTTGTTCCTTTCCGCGCAATCGCCTCTATTAAGCAGAAATCCACCTTCAAAAGTTGTAGAACAAAATTGTTACGTCTATTCTCTTTTCTTTGTTTTTAACCAAACGAATAAAAAGCAAAAGCATGCATAGAAAGCGGTGATCTCGAAAGCAAAGACAGAATGGCTTGGTCAAAATGGTTGATGAGCAGCTATTAGAAGGATTTTTGGAGCAAATTTTTTTTTTTATCAGTCAATTTCATGATAATCCAGGTTTAATCAGAAAAGAAGAAATGTTTTTTATTTAACAAGAATCAGAAAAAAGAAAACACGATCCTGAATCTTTGAAACAAAACAATCACGAGAATTTAGAGTCAACACTCCAACTAAAGCAAGAAATGTAAAACAAATGAAATCCTACGTTTCCTTTCCTAAACTAATGAATTTAGGTCAGGTTTACCCGCACAAGAAGTGCAAGATTCGTCAAGTTTCTCTTATTTTCTCATCATTTCTTGCCATCCATTTTTTTCTGAAGTCGAGAAATATCAGAAAGCGCCAATATCTCGGTCCTTTTCTCAATATAGTAGGTCCCTTTCTTTTAAGAAGAAAGCCAAGACTTATTTTCTAAGAAAACAAACATTATAACAAGAAACTGACATAGCATTCTAAAATCATTACCGACAAACATACAAACAATGAACAGCTTTTGGGGCAGTTCATTTTCCGAGAAAAAGCAAGAAAAGAAAATTACCTAACTGGAAAAGTCAAAAAAAAAAAAATTACCCACGTGAAGACTCTTCTATATTGTATGCATGCAAAAAGGGGTTGCTCTAGAGATCTTACCAAAAAGTCATCAAGGAGACATTTACTTTATGGATTAAAATTATGAGATTAAAATTATTTTTAATTTACGTGTATTTTTTATAATACTATATATAACGAATCATGATTCATGATTCAAATCATAGTATAAATTCCCTTATCAAAAATTCGGTTTCCTCGTAACAATAGTATTAGCTGAGACAATGAGTAATTGAGTTGCAACTTTGGTAATGTTTGCTAGTGGGCTATCCTTCTTTTGCTTGAAATTGAATTGATTGTAATGTCCCCCTTTTTAGCCTGTAGGATGTTTGGGACGCGTATATGCATCCTTCGAATCTTTTCAATTCATAAGGCACGCCCCCGATAGTAAATTTTTTTTTTTTTTTTTTTTTAACAATTTGCATGTGTTTTATAAAATTGATTTAAATTTATTTAAAGTTTTAAAGTTTGATAAGTAATGTTCCCTACATTATACAAAGATTTTTTTAATCAAATAAATAAATAAGTGTGTCGATAATCCCGCTTATAATTTAAGTTGAACTTAAACAGAATATGCTAATAATGTTTTTTTCTATTGGGTTGCAAACAATGTTTTAATAACAACATGTATAAATAAATATAGCTAACTGCTAATTATTTTTTAAATTAAAAAATGATACCATAAAAATTTGTACAATAACAGCATAAAATTATTTAGAAATTTTAAATTTTAACCTAAATAAAAGTTAATTAGATAAATTGTAGGAAATAGGCCTATATTTAAAACTTATGAAAGTAAATGGCTAATTTATCAGTGTATAAAATTAATAGACTATTTCATCTTTTTAATTTTTAATTTTCTAATTTTACCCTTTTCTTATTTTTTTTCTTTTCCTTTGACAAATTTATGTATATCCAGGATTTATCAAGTTAGAAGCACAATACAAATTCTAATAGTAAATCCTAGATGTACTTAGTAAAATCAAGATTTACCAAGTTAGCATCACTTTTTCAAAAACCATACAAACTCTAATGGTAAGTCTCGGATGTACACGATTAATCTAAAATTTAGTTAGAATCACTTGAAAAAGAAGAATACAAATTCTAATGGTAAATCCTGGACATTCTTGATAAATCTAGGATTTACCAAGTTAGCATCTATTTTTCAAGAACTGTAAAAATTTTAATGGTGAATCTTGGATATACACGATAAATTCAGATAAATCCAAACTTTACCAAGTTATAATAACTTGAAAAAGAACAGTACAAATTCTAATGATAAATTCTGAATATACTTAGTAAGTGAAGGATTTACCAAGCTAGCATCACTTTTTTAAGAACTGTACAAACTCTAATTATTAAATCATACATATACAAGGTTAATCCAAGATTTACCAAGTTAGAATCACTTGAAAAAAAATTACAAATTATAATAGTAAATCCTTGATATATTTGGTAAATTTAAAATTTACCGAGTTAGCATTACTTTTTCAAGAATAGTAAAAATTATTGGTGATGAATCTTGGATATACACTGTAAATCTAGGTAAATCCAGGATGTGTCAAGTCAGAATCACTTGAAAAAAAGTATAAATTCTAATGGTAAATCATGGATATACTTAGGGCTTGTTTGGTTCAACAATTTGCAAACTATGGAGATTTGAATCTTTTTTGTTAAAATTGTAGAATTTTAATTGTGGTGATTTTAATTGTGATTCAAACCGATATTTGGATATGTAAATAAATTGTAATTTAAATTGGAAATAAAATCTGAACTGTGTTTGGATAAAGTGTTGAAAACTGTCATTAGAGTTTTGTAACAAATCTTATAAAATCTCAATGTAAATGATATTAAAAAATATGCAATATGGGTGGCGATTTGTTCCTTTCTTCATTATGAACACATCTTAAAAAAATTCATCTCAATCGGAATTAAAACGAAGAAGTTATAACATTTTTAAGACTAAAATTGAAGAGAGAGAAAAAGTAGAATCTGGAACTGTTAAATTGTTGACAACAATTCAGATTGTTAAAATTTAAAGAGGGTGGTGAATTCTAAAAATTAAGTATTTAAACCATTGTTAATGGTTTGAATTGTCCTACAATTTTCCTCTCCCAAACACCAATTTGAATCCTAACTAACAATTTGAGTTGTTGAAACAAACATTACATTAGTAAATTCAAGATTTACCAAGCTAGCATCGCTTTTCAAGAACTGTACAAACTCGAATGGTAAATCCTGGATATACACGGTTGTTCCAGGATTTACCATTAGGATCACTTAAAAAAGAACAATACAAATTCTAATATTACATCCTATATACTTGTTAATCCTGGACTTACCAAGTTAACATCATTTTCTTAAGAACCGTACAAATTTTAATGATAAATGCTGGATCTACACGATAAATTCATGTGAATATCAGTGATTTACTAAAAGGATATTTTTAGAATTTCAGTTGGTTTTAAATCCAGATTTACATCAAATTGACATTTATGAACTTCTCTTAAATATTTACCTATTAATTTTAATTCCTCTCAAATTTTCACCTATTTCCCTCCTTCTCCGTAAAATTATGGTTGTATGAAAATAAAGAGTTTCAAATTATACGTAATAATTGTTCAAAAAGAAATAGACACATCTTCTCTACTATAAATAGTATAGATATATAGTAAAGTATAGAGATTAATGAGTTCAAATATTTATGAAAATAAGAAAAAGATATTAAATGAGGTGTTTAAAGTGAAAATTAATTAATGAAAAAATATTTTAATTGGAACAATTAAAAATACAAGATTTTAAAAAGCAGACGAAAACGAATAAGCAAGTGCTAAAGCAAAAGCAAGCATCAAAATGTGGAAGAAAATTTTCTCAGTGTGAAGGCAAGAAGTTGAAGAACAAAAAGTGTAATATTCATCTACAATTCAATATAATCTATAGATAAAAAATTCTGATGAAAAAACATTTAAAATACAATTAAAAACACTAAGAAATAGAATGATTATGAAATATTTAAATATTATTTAAAAATCTTCAACCTTAAGCCAACTAGTCACTTTATTGATCACTTGAACATAATCAAATATATTGATTCCCTACAGAGAATACTTTGACCAAAGATCTAAATGATCAATTATTTTGACAATTTAAGGAGAAATTATTAACTCCCAACGGAACGAAAAAATTCTAATATTATTATACTAATTAATCACTATACATAAATCCACATTTCCAAATTACAGAAGCTATTAAATTAATAAATTCTCACTCTGGAGTAATTCAAGAAATGTAAAATCCAAGTATAAGATTTTTACAGTAAACTCAAGATTAGAGCATTTACATTTAGTGCCTATAAGATATTAATTAAGACAGTCACTAAAATTAAATCTTATTTATTATCCGTTTGATACTCTATTTAGTACTATTGACTCACAATCAATTATACCGAATCATTTAATTATGGCTTTCGCTACAACTGTCATAAATAAAATTCTTAATTTTATTTATAATTGCAAACATGTTTTTTAATTATGAAATCCATGTAAATAAATACAACATAACCAAAGGGCTTGGTATATTTAAATAAATAAATGCTCAACGAAGAACAATGTCAACTTTTATTTAATTAATGCAACTGAAAATGTCATACCAAAATTGGTGTAAAATAGCATAATTTCAACAATCTCTCAATTGCTTTTTTAAAACAGGTGCCGCATTTGGTGAATTCCCATTCCCTCTAGATGAGAATAAGGACTCGTTTAATTCGTTGATTCAAGTTTTTAATTTGAGTTGAGATGTGACTTTATGTGAGAGTTTTTTACTGTAGCAAAAGTTAAATGTGATTGTTTATAAGAGCTTTTTATTGTAATAAAACTCGAATTTTAAATTAAAATCGGTGAAATAAACGAGGCCTAAAAAACTCTCGAAGCTAGCGACTTGATGAATTGATCCGTCAGGTTTTCTGCTGATTCAATCTCCGCGACTTCAACATCTCCACGTTGTACTATCTCTCAAATAAGACGATACTTTCTCTCAATGTGCTTTTGCCTCTTGTGGTGCCTTGGTTCTTTGATTATGATACAGCTCCATTAGTGTCACAGTACATAATGATCGGCTGCTTTGCACTAGGTACTACTTCAAGTTCATTAAGGAACTTCTTGAGTCATACAGTTTCCTTTGCAGCTTCTAAGTAGCCACAGACTCAGCTTTTATGGTGGAGTCTGCAATACATGACTGTTTCACATTCCTCCAACTGATAGCTCCACCACCAAGTACTGTAAACGGTTAGTTTTGAAAACGATATTCTATGTAAAAGCGTGTATTTAGCGGATCACATAATACAAAAATTTTAACGAACCTTTAAAACACTCTATAAAATACAATAATTTATGCATGAGTAAATTAATCAAATTAATTTATGAATAAATTTACTTAGCGAACGATTAGGTCGATAACTTGAGTTCTTTGACCAGGAACATTCCTCGCTCCAAGCTAGTTTAGAATGCCCGAATGTTCCTCATTAATTATTTGGATCTATGAAGACGTGTGTGTGGACACATCTGAAACAAAACAAAATTAGCACTCAAAAACACTCAAGTCTTCCACGAACACCAATACATACAAGACGTGGAATTGGAATGAAAATTTTTCTTTTCCTTACTATATAAAAAACCAGCCACTTAAGCTATGAAGAGCAAAAATTGTGTTCTCCATAAATAATTCATAATTAGAGATAGGTAAAATCTGTTAACCTCTCTAATTACATCTTTATCTTTGAGTATCATTGATTCTCTAATGGATAGTGATTCATAAAATAAATTCATGAATCAGAGCTCCTACTAATCTAAGTACCGAATTAACCTTTAAGAGAATTATTCATCTGCTTCTTTTTCAAGAATGAATGTATTTCATCTCGTATATTAACATTCTCAGCTACCCACATCGTCATGCCTCCAAAATATAAGGAATATGACTCAGCATCACGGAATTCATACCGAGTAAATCAAAAGAAAATAATTCATAAATATGAGTCTGCTAATAACTCATGATTAAGATAATTTTATATACGACTATTAGTAGACTTAATTAGAATTTCTGTAAGTAACGAAAATTATCAGAAATTCATATTATGTATGTTTTCTTGTAACAGTCACACTGAGGCAATAATATCAATACCATTCAGATATTTTTCATCTATTTTTCTCTACCATTTCCTTTTATTTATCGATTCGTGGTGTTTCTACTATTTTGAAAAAAAAAATACAAACACTCTCGTTATAAAAAGCTCTTTTTATTTTTTATAGTAATATGTTCTTGTAATTTGCCCTTAAAAAAAAGATATATGGGATGTTTGATTGGAGGATTCAAATCACAATTTGAATCATGATTTATAATTCGTTATAGTATTTTTCTCATAAAAAATATACATAAATTAAAAATAATTATAATCACATAATTTTAATTTATGAACTAAACGTTTTCATAGTAAGAGTTTAGATGCTCGTTAGGATTAGATTTGAGACTAACAAGGGGGTAGTGCAGAAGAGAACAAACAACTCGTCAACGAACCAACGTTCAGATTAGCTAGCTAAAGAGACATGGCATCCTTTAATCATTGATTTCTTTATCTAAAACCAATGCATTGATAAAAGAATAGTCTTGTCCTACTATAAATATTATAAAATAAAAAAAGGAAGAAAAAAACAAAACAAAACAAAAGGACCAATTACGGAAAGCCAAAGACCTCCAGGGTGGCAAAGACCAGAAATAGTCCTCAATATAGACTCATATATGTACTGTTTCTTTTAAAATAAAACTCAAAAAAATATTTAGGACCGTAGTAATATTTTTAAAATGATTTTATTTTTAATATAAAAGTATAAATGAGATTGTTTTGAGAATTATTTTAAAATTAATTTTAAAATTACATTTGATTAGTTTTTTAAAAAATTATTTTGAATATAATAAAAAAATAAAATTATTTTGGTTATAATTATTAATTAATATATTATAACGTTGTTGATAAGTATTAAAAAATAAAAATAGAAAAAAAACAAATTACAATCATTTTCTAATTCATTTACAAAAATTAGTCTCATTGTTTTTTATTTTCGTTATTAAAATATTTACTAAACAAAAATGGTTTGCAGACCGTTTTTAATTTCGTACCTCAAAAGACATGTAAAAATGTTTTAAAAAACAAGTAAAAATCAATTACAAACACACTCAATATTTATTTATGAATACCGTATTTACTCGAATATCCGGTCAGCGATCATTATAAAAAAACTCAAAGGTTCCAAAAAAAAAAAACAAAACCCAAATCTAACAATCATGGCCCCGTTTATTTTACCGATTCGAGTTTAAAATTCAAATTTTGCTACAGTAAAAAGCTCTTAGAAACAGTCACATCTAACTTTTTTACAACAGTACAAAATTCTCACATAAAGTTACATCTAAACTCGAATTAAAAACTCGAGTGAGCGAACTAAACGTGCCCTTAAATTTAAGTTATAATTTTATTTAAGTTCATGTTCGTTTCTAAAATTTGAGTTTGAACTTGAGTTTAAACCCGAGTTTTAACTTGAGTTTGGGGCTAAAATCTGAAGCTCTATTCATTTCACCGATTCGAGTTTTGCTATAGTAAAAAACTCTCAGAAACAGTCACGTATAACTTTTTTGTTACAATAAAAAGTTATCACATAAAATCACATCTCAACTCGAATTAAAAACTCGAATCAGGGAACTAAACGGGAGTTCAAGTTTCCCTTTCAACTCAAGTTCTTAAACTCAAACTCAAGTTAATAAACAATATTTTTTCTATTCTTAAAAACGTCGTAACTTTTTTATTTTAATTCCGATTGAGATGATTTTTTCTAATGCGTTCACAACGAAGAGACGAATAAAACCCCACCCATATACCTTATTAAAATTCTTCATCACCATTGAGATTTTATTAAAATACTATTTAAATATAAATTCAAATTTTAACTCACTCAAATAGATTCTCAATTTAAATCATAACTCAAATGTATACATCTAAACACAAACTCAAATTACAATTTCAACTCAAATTATAACTTAAATTTAACTCAAAATCTACACTCAAATTACCGTAACTCCAAAATATAACCGAACAAGTCGTATATATTTTATCTTGGTGTCCAAAATGAGTAAGTTTAAAGGAGTAAAAAATGGGTCTCATTTAATTTATTTGGATACAAAATCAAAATTTAACAGAAATTTTGATTCCAATACGTTGTATACCTGTCTCCTAAAGCCTGTAAAAACCTGACATGCATGACAAAAATAACTGCCTCTAATAATTTTCCATCATTCAAAAAAGAAAAAAAAGTATATAATTAAAGGTCGTTATTTCACAAATTCAAATTTTATTATAATTTTAATTTTATTATAATAAAAAAATTTAAAAAATAATTACAATAAATTTTTTTTACATAAAATTAAATTTAAATTCTAATTTAAAACTCAAATTAACAATTAAACGACTTAAAATAACAACAGTGTTCTTATTTCCAATTTTATTTACGAAAGATCCACTATTTTGTTTTTGCAATATACCAAGAATTATTTATTTGATTTTACAGAACCAACCTGATCACATGGTGACTAGTTTCTTGATACAGAGAATAAACAGGGACAGCTAAATCCCACCTGTACTTTAGGGAATAAACCAAGAGCTGTATATTCATTTCTTCTTCCTTCTAACCTTACCGTTACATAAAAGAGAACCAAACCCAAAAAAATTGATGGTAACTTTGGGAATGTACGGATGTGGGAGATTCAGAACTGGACTAACCCTATTAACCCCATTTCCATGAGATCCTTTGTTGGCATAGGAGTAATACCCACCACTCGAAAACGACGTTGATCTCTTGTAAAACGACGTTGAATTAACCGACGACTGCTTTTGCAAACCCGGCTTCTGGTTCTGCTTCGGATTTGGGACCGACCCAGTTGAGTTGCTTCTGGACAAGAACTGTAGAGACCGAATCAAACTCTTCCCACGAGCCGTGTCGAAATTTAGACTACTACTTCTCCTGAACTGCCAAAAGGACTTGCTCTGTGGAGGCTTTTCATCGTCATTATCTGTGTCCAAACTAGTGGATAGGAATTCTTTCAACCTCTTCTTGTTGATGTTCGAATCCGAATTTCGGTAAGAAGCCGTCGGGGGAAGCGCCGGTGTTTTCTTGATTTGGACAGGAAGAATCTTACCATTGGAGAAGAGCTCGTCTGCCGGAGAGAGTTGTTCCAAAGTGAGATTGCTGTTGAGAATGCAGAAGTTGAAATCGGAGCTCGAATCCAAAAGGTTTATATCTTCTCTGGGCAGAACTGAATTTGTTTGATTGAGATCGTGAGAGAACGAGATTCTTGGACTGATTGGCAAGCTAGAAATCTCTGAGCAGACGTCAACTGCCATTTTTTCTTTTCTTTTCTTTTCTTTTCTTTTCTATTTGTTCAATTTCATAGGAGGAGAAGAGTGACGTTAAATAGTAGCGGATTTGTAGTCAAATTGGAGAAAGGAAATTTGAATAATGGCATGGAATATGAAGTCAGAAAATAGCAGCTTTGGCTTTTTTTTTTCTTTCTTTTTTTTTTTTTTTTTTTTGGGTCTCAGAGCTGCAAATAATGGCAATGGAATTTAAATTAGTAAATTGAGTTTTGGTTTTTTTTTTTTTTTTTTTTTTTTTTTTTTTTTTGGGTCTCAGAGCTGCAGTGAAGGTTGAGACAGAGAGACAAACAAGCCGTTTATATTGCCCCTTTATTGAGTTGGTAAGAAGGAAATGGGTAAAAGAAAAAAGAAAAGGGCCGGTCTTCTGTCCCGCACAAAGCATTTAAGAATTCCATTCTGTAAATGATCTGAGCCGTTCATTTGTGGCACAGAGAAATCTAACGGCCCAGAGAAAAGTAGGGGTAAAATACATTAAAAAAAAGGCAACCGGTTACGGGCCAAAATAAAAAAAAAAACTAAGGTACGAAAATGACCCCTGAGTCCTGACCTCCCCCCCACCCTCTCTCTCTCCCTCTCCTCCTTCTCCGGTGTTGATTGTTCGAAGGTTCCAAAGAGCAGGTGGGATTAGAGGTGTTGTTTGTGTAAAACGACAAATGGATACGCAATAAGCTCTTCAAAATCTAAGGTCTCATTCATTTCACCGATTTAAATTTTAAATTTTTATAATAAATTTTTTTTTAAAAATATCATATTTAATTTTTTCTGCTACAGTAAAAAATTCTCAACTCGAATTTACAAAGTCAATAAGACTAAAGTGTCGTTTGACGTTTTATGTGACCGTGACTTAAATGAAGATCTTTGTATCAAGTACAGAGAAGGGAAGAAGAAAGGTGATATTGTTGCTGGGTTTTGTAAGACCCACACTGATCTCTGGAAAAAGGTGACCTTTTTTTTTTTTTTTTTTTTTTTTTAAGGGATATTGATTGCGAAATGGATATATGTGTTGATTTTATTTTATACTACGAGATAAATATCATGGTTATATAAGAGTTTTTTTTAAAGATTTTTTTATAACTCGGATGATATGGTTCATTATGTTTTAAAAGATTCAAGATTTATATCTTGAAATGTTGTGGCTCATTGCGGTCTGCGCATACCAAAACTCTGTGTATAATGTGGTCTATGCATACCAATTGTTTGATGAAATGCTTCCGTGCATATTAGTGACATTGTATTGGTTTATAACTTCAAATTCTAACTAACTATTATAAGTTCATTGGTGTATTTTGCGACTTTGTTGTTATTTTATCTATAATCGACGGCTTTTTTGGTTTAGAGAAAGAAAAACAAATCAATCAATAATTGATACTATCATTAAAAAAAGAAAAAAAGAGAAAATTAAATTAAAGCTTTCTAATATTACAAAAATAAAAAATAAAAACACAAAAAATCTCATTTCAATGGTATTTGAATCTTTTTAAGGTTACAAACGTAAGTTTTTCTTTTTTATTTTTATTTAAGGGTACTTTAGGTATTTTATACTTAAAATTGAGGATTAATTATAAATATGTATAAATGTGAGTATTAAATCTAATTTGTATATATATATTTAATGATATCAAAAATTGAAAGTATAATTTTTTAATAAATCCAAAACACAAGTATAAAAGTGTAAATATCTCAATAACATATCACATGATTTGCATATTATAGACATATTTATTTATGTGTGTATATATATTCATGCCACCCTATATATGTACGTAAATGTATGTGTTACATATATCCATGCAACCCTAAACTACAAGTTTGATGTTTACAGTTATGCCCATGCAACCCTAAACTATAAGTTTCCTTTTTACAGTTATGCCCATGCAACCTATGCAATATGAAGTCTTAGCATTTTTCTTATTTCTAAGTTGCAATATTATTGTTTATTGATACACTATGGGCTCGTTCAGTTTACGGATTTGAGTTTTTAATTCGAGTTGAGATATATTTTATGTGACAGTTTTTCACTGTAAAAAAAAAAAATTAGATGTGATTTTTTTATGATAATTTTTAACTATAATAAAATTTGAATCGAAAACTTAAATTAGTGAAATGAACGACATCTATGACTATATAAGTGCTTATAGTTCTGACTTTTTTGTTACCAATTAAGGGGATGTTTGTTTCTTTCGTTTCTGATTTTGAATCATGATTTATGGTTTTCTACAGTATTTTTCTCACAAAAAATACACATAAAACGAAAATAATTTTAAACCATAATTATGAATTTATAAACTAAACGTTCACTAATTTTTATGTTATCTCTTTCTTTTAAAGTTAAAAATACGGTACTGCCCTTACTTTTAGACTATGAAAATACCTTCTTGTCCAAACTTTTTGGTCTGCAGTTACCACCTTGCCCCTGTTTTTTTCACTTTCCCGGTTTTGCCCCCACAACCATCCCACTAACCGGTACAGGCAACCTACATGTGGAGGTTACATTTAATTAAAATATGATTAAATAATGAGAGAAATAAGAAAATAGGCCAAGACTTAAGATGAATTAAAATTAATAAGTTAATAATTTATATAAGTTAATAAATAGGTCAAATTATTGTTTTTATTATTAACTTGTCTGATTATGAACCATAATTTGACAAGTTATTCATAATTTTTGTCCATAACTTATATGACTATGAACCGTAACTTAATAAATTTGTCTATAACTTATTTTATTATGAACCGTAATTTATTCTTAATAAATTATGACCTATTAATTTTTATACCTAAAAGTTAGTCTATATATTTTCTTAAACTTTTTATATTTTCTTATTTTTTACTATTTCTGTTAAATAATTGACCTTTGGCCCACACAAAACTGACAATGGCCCACTCAAGTGTGAGGAATACATCCCGTAATAGTGAATTGCGGGATGGAAGGAAGATTTGGCCGAAAGAAAAAAGTCTTTCTACATTATGATCTCCTATTGGTAGTGTGTAGTTTTTGTTTTTAAAACGTCACATTAAAACAATAAAATATACAAAACAACAAATTATTTTCGGGTACAGATTTAACCATTAAAATAATATAACCTTACTGTTTGTGCAGTTCTCTGAGTCCAACCGTAAAATCTCTAAAAAGGAAAGAGAATAAAAGGTGTTGAACTTATGCACCGAAAGGCTACCATAGAGATCCTCTTCTAGAGGGCGGTTTCCAATGGAGCTTTTACTTTAATGGAAACCCCAGAAATGAAAGTAAGTTTGATCGCTTACTGATTAATGATTTTATCTTTATGGGATTCATAAAGCAAAGCAAAACTGCAAAATATACTGCAACTTTAAGGGAATAAGAGTACTTGATAATAGTTGGGCAAAAAAAAAAAAAAAAAAAAGGAGAAAGCTATGCGATGTGGTAAGAAAAATTAGGGTCGTGTTTAGAATTAATCTCGTTTTTATTTTTCATATTTTTTGAGAAAGAAAAATAAAAACGTTTTCAAAACGGCGTTTAGCGCAATAAAAATAAAAAAATGAAAATGAAAACGATTTTTTAATTTAGTGTAAAATAAAAGAGAAATGAAAAACGACTTTTAGTCGTTTTTCATTTTTTATTTTCATTTTCTCTTCTTTCGAACAGAGAGAGAGAAACATTAATGAGTTTTTTTATATTAAAAATAAATAAAACTACTAATCGTATTTTTAAAAATAATTTTTATTTGAGATTAAAAATATTTTTATTTTCATTCTTATTTTCATATAAAAAATAATTATTTTAAAATAAATTTTAAACGCACCTCACTGTTACAGTTTCACGCAAGTTATATTTCCACTAATTCCACTTATATTGCTGACCCATCGATCTGGATGATGTGGCAAGTTATGTCTTTTTAATGCGATAGGGTGTCATAATTACCTGAGGGCATCCAAGGGCAATTATAAATTGAGTGACTGGCAACCGAATGTGATTTATAAACATCAAAAAACGCGAGTAACCAAGTGAAAAAGTAAAGGGGTCGATGGATGCTCATATACAACCGAATTGTTCATTTACAATGTTGACATATTAAACTTCAATTATTTTATCGATTTAAATTTTTAATTTTAAATTTTTATAATTAAAAATTTTTAAAAAATATCACATTTAATTTTTTTTATTATAATTAAAAATTATTAAAAAATATCACATCTTAACTCAAATTAAAAATTTAAATTTACAAAATGAATGAGACCTAAAAATCCAAATTGTTTAAATTTAAAATTTGTTTGGGCTACAATCCTGTGCGTAAGTGAGCTTAGAAGTTCTCAATAGGCTTATATATGCATGAATGTCCACTGAGAGGTTCCCGCGCCTAAAAATGTCTTTTATTTTATTTATTTACAAAATCATCCACCATCCTGTATAGAAAAATAATATTATTCTTATATTAAAAAAAAAGGGCTAGAAATAATGGAACACAATAGAGGAAACTTTTGAGAATAAAATCTTAAATTGAAATATGAAAATTACAATTAACGAAACCTACCATATTCAGTATATGGAAACTTTTTTAAACAAAAAATAATAGAAGCACTCTAGAACCGGTTTCAATACACATTTTTCATTACCCAGAATGAAAATTACCATGCGTAAATTAAAAAAAAAAAGATTTATCATAATGAAACTAATCTTGAACTACACAATGAAAAGAAGAAAAAAAATATATATACCAGGACACTATGAAAAATATAGAAATCATTATAATAAAAACATACCATGCATGAAATTAATATTTTCTTTATCATACATTCTTTAAAATTATAATAATGAAAATATTCTAGAACTATGATAAGAAGGAAAATAAGAAAAATATAATGAAAAACATAATTACGACACAGCATAAAAACGAGAATGAAAAGAAAAATTCATTGTCGTGATGATAAATTTAAACGTCACTACAAAAAGGATCAGGAAAAGTAAATACTGGAAAAAAAACGTTAATGTGCAAAAAATGTTAAATTTCAATAATATATAGATAAAATCAATATAAAACAAAAATTATAATTCATAAAGAAAAGGAAAAAAAAAGAACTGAAAATAGGCATAATAA